GCACGATGCGACCTAGGCCTGTGCTAAAAAGGAGTGTCCCGACTGTAGCCGTGCAGACTCGGATGCGGCGACGAAACGAGCAGCTTCAGAAGGAAAGAGAGTCTGAAAAGGCAGTCGAAGAAGAGCCTATCCCCGTTAGTGAGAACGATGAGGATAACGAGGATGAGAAGTTGCGAGTCGAAGAGGAAGAACGGGCTCGTCGTCGTGCACTGGAAAGGGAGTCGGAGAAAGGGAAGGCCGAAGCAAGCAAGAAAGAGCCACGAAATAAGAAAAATATTTACTCGATCCCCGTGGAGCAGGGGGTCGATATCGAGCGACTCGTCGATAAGATTCTGGAAAGTCAGCGCGACTTGGTCACGCTGAAGGAAATTTTGGCGGTATCGCCAGAGATTCGAGAGGAGTTTAAACAGCGAATGACTCGTAAGAGAGTCATGACTGTTAAACTCGGCGAAGTCATTCCGCCGGAGGCTAACTGGTCCCCGCCTGGGACGAAGATGGATTGGCGAAGTGTGTCGACCGGCCATATGAAGGTCCAGATTGGACAACAAGAGTACTCAACACTCGTGGATGATGGGGCCGAGATGAACATCATTCGCGAGCGTCATGCCATCGAAGCTAGGTTGAAGATCAATCGAGATGACTATGGGTTTCTGGTGGGAGCTAGCGGATCGACCCCATTCTGCGGGACAGCCAATGGCGTTCTCATCACGGTTGGGAAGGTCAAAGTCCGCTCTTATTTCTACGTGTTACCTAGAGTGAAACACGAGGTGCTTCTGGGAAGGGTGTTCCTATGTCGGTCAGAAAGCATCATCATTAACAAGCATGATGGAACCATGTTTGTAATCCTTTGCGATCCTGTTTGCGGTTATTACAAAGTGGTCAAGTGTGCGAACACTGGACCCTATTGCTCGTGGAACCGGTTGAACCCGGAATCCTATAGCTTCCCGGAGTCAGAAACGTTGAGGAAGGAGAAAGAATCGTTAGGGGAGGAGCCGAATCCTCATGAGTTCTCGCTGACCCTGCCTGATATTGGGCAGGCAATCGATTTTGTATCGACACATGAGGCGGTTGATCCAAATGTGGTGCAAGCCTTGACGGAGATCATCACGGACACCGGAAGCGCAGGGACTATGCGCCTTGTTTACTCCCCGTCGTAAGGGAATAAGGGAGGAGATCAGGAATTGCCCTCCACTCGACAGGGTCTTTTTTTAGAGGACGCCGACTTGACACCGGTGCCAAACGTAAGTACAAGAAAGTAGGCGTGAAGGCGAAGCCGGTACCTGTTCTGATCACTCAAGAGGAGGAAGTCTATTATCGTGAGGAGCGCGAGTGGATCAGAGAAATGAAAGAGAGAGGTGAAAAGGGGTCATGTCGGTTAACCAAAGAAAGAGTGGAAATTATGATCATTGGGGAGGAGGACCTCCTTACTGAGCAGGAAAAATGTTATATCATCGATATATTGAGGGAGGAACATCTCTCCTATGCGTTTGATGATGATGAGCGGGGAAGGCTGGATGTCAATAAAATCCCGATGATTAGAGTTCATACTGTACCACATGAGCCATGGAATGTGAGAGGGCCACGTTATCCGAATCCGGAGGATCACCGTAAAGTGGTCGCGTATCTTGATGGAAAAATCCGGACGAAAGTTGCAGATTATTCTTACGGGCCATATGCATCTCCATGGTTCTGTTTCATCAAGCCGAATGGTACCTTACGGTGGATTCAGGACCTTCAGAAGCTGAATTCGGTGACAGTGCGAGATGCAGGTGGGCTCCCACATGCAAACCTATTGTCGGAGTCTTGTGCAGGGAGGTCTATCATCACCCTCATTGATTTATATTCCGGGTATGATCAATTTCCCATTTACACTGCGGATCGGCCCAAGATGGCGATGCACAGTCCTCGTGGATTGATCAATATGTGTGTGGCGCCGCAGGGGTGGACGAATGCAGTCGCCATTGTTCAGAGATATATGACGAGGGTTATGCAGCCTTATTGTCCTTACATAACTTCACCGTATATTGACGACTTGGCTATTCCAGGGCCTCGAACGAAAGACCTGGCGGAGGTGTTGCCGGACATTCGCCGCTTTGTCTGGGAGCACATCAATGATGTGGTGAAAATTCTTAAGAGGTTGAAGGAATTTAATCTCACAGCTAGTAGGATTAAGTCTCGGCATTGTATGAAGAGAGCAGTGATCTTGGGATTCCTTTGCGATGAGAAAGGTCGCCGGCCGGATGCGAAGAAGACTAATAAAATCTTGGAATGGCCGACCCCCTTTAAGTCGATCACAGATGTGCGAAGTTTCCTAGGAACCTGTGGATTTTGGCGCATCTTCATCCGCAGGTTTGCCGCCAGAGTGGAGCACTTGCGAAAGCTTGTGCGCAAAGGCCAGAAGTGGGAATGGGGTCCGACGCAACAAGAGGCCGTGGAGGATATAAAGACTGAGTTTCGTGAGGGCGGATTGATCCTTGGAGTTCCCCTTTTTGATGATGATGAAAAACATCCTTTTGTTATTGAGACTGATGTGGGGCCCACAGCCCTAGGAGGAGTCTTAGTTCAGAAGGATGCCGAGGGGCAGGAAAGGCCTCTCAAATTTGAGAGCAGGACTCTGAATGTTGCAGAGAGGAACTATTCCCAGTTCAAGAAGGAGACTTTGGTCGTGCTTCACTGTTTCCGTATCTTTCAGAATTATGTGTTTGGTAGACGCTTCATCCTGCGGGTGGATCCGACTGCATTGGCTCAATCCTTAAGGAATTATTCACCTGCTGATCCCACTATTGCACGATGGTTGACTTATATTGGATGTTTGACTTCAAGATTGAGCGGATTTCGGGGAGTCAAAATCGTGCTGATGGGCTGAGTCGGGTCGAATGGGACCCAGAGTCGGATCAGGCGAAAAAATCAGTTCCGGTCGATGCCTTTCTGAAGGAAGAGGAGTCGCGGTTGAGTATTAACTCCCTTGCCTACGTGACTGATTCGGCTACTTGACGTGGAAGATCAATATGGAATGCTCCCATCTGTCATGAGGTACGTTCAGAGCTCGTGATGGAAGGACCTTTTATTGAGGAGGATCCATGGGGCGAGCAGACCGCAGAGGAAATGATGAGGCTGGCTTTGACCGATGACATCGACCTTATGCTTGATCCACTAACGATTGAACAGGGTCATACACAGGCTGATGACGCTTTCCAGACCGTTGGAAGGATGTCATATATCATGAACTTGTTGGTTCATGAGGTTCGCCTGAGGTTAATGAATGCGGAGGAAGGAAGCAGCGAGGTCAAGGAGACATTCAAGGAAAAGGAGTATGAAAGAGAGTATAAGAAAATAGGCATGTGGTTGAATGGGGAATTGGACGAAAGCGAGGTTGATCCGGTTGTGCGGGAAAAGAGCAAAGGATTTGTTGTTCGTGATGGTCATCTCTTTAAGAAAGTTGCTGATGGTGTCCCAAAAAGGGTAGTATGCGGAACTTCTCGACAGTTGGATGTGATCGCTGCTTTGCATGATGGGGTAGCCGGCGGGCATAAGTCTGCGCGGGTAACCCTGAACAAGATCAACGTCTCTATTTCTGGGAAGGGATGAGCAAGATGGTGATTGACTTTTGTAAATCTTGTTTCCCTTGTCAACAGAGGTCTAATATCCGCTACCTTGAGCCCCTAAATCCACGTTATGTGGCAGAACCAGGTGTGGTGGTGCATTTGGATCTTTTGGTGATGCCACCTGGGATAAATGAGTACAGGTATATCTTCGATGCTAGAGACAATTTGACTGGGTTCGTTGATGGTCGTGCCATTCGCGAACGTACTGGGTCAGTCTTGGCAGAGTGCATTGAGGAATATTACCTCCGTTATCCATTTGTTCAAGAGATTGTTATGGATCGAGAAGGCGAGTTTCAAGCAAAGGAGGTGCAAACGCTTTTAAAGAGACTTGGGGTGAGTTTCAGTTATACGACGAGAGCGCATCCCCAGGCCAATGCACCCGTGGAACGAGGACATACCACCTTGTCTAAATTGTTGGTTAAATGGTGCAAGGGGGAACCATCAAGATGACCAATTTATTTGAGGGCAACCTTTTTTGTTGAGAATGTTACCATCAAGCGAACAACCGGGTACGCTCCCGTCACATTATGGTTTGGACAACATGCGACTTTTCCAATTGAAAGTTTCCTGACCACTTGGCAAAAACAGGACATGGAAATAAAACTCTCAACAAAAGAGTTGTTGGAATTGAGGGCAAGACAGATCATAGTGACTGAAGAACGGATTGAAGACGCGACTGTCTCTACTTCTGAAAGCAGGCAGACTGATAAGGAAAGATGGGACAAGAGGCCACGTGTACGAAAATAGCCGTTGGAAGTGGGAGACATCGTCTTGTTGTATGATATGTCGCTAGARAAACAGTGGTCCAGAAAACTAGACAGTCGGTGGCTAGGACCATATCGGATCACTATGAAAACACAACATGGGGCATATGAAATAGAGGAGTTGGATGGATCCCGAAGTAGAAATTGGGTATCAGGTGCACATCTACGAAAGTTTATTCCAAGAGTTTAGTGAAAATTTTTGTAGAGGAGGTAACTGGTGGCGTCAATTTGGTAATTCTTCTTACTCTCGTATTGTGGTTCAGTTGATTCTGACTTTTGCCTTAGGCTAACCGAGGAAGTTGTAAAGTATTAATAAGGGTATTGAGATTGAAAGGTTATCAATGGGATTGTGACTCCTGTTGTGTTATAATAATGGATCTGTGCCTCACTGCCACAGACAAATATAAGATGACTATGATATTTTTCTCACAATTGTCTCTATGCATAAGAGGTGTTGGATACTGGTTGTAGAGTAAAAGAATGATACAAAATGACTTAGTGAGATTCTTATCATGATTGGATGGTCATTGCGAGAAGTGTATTGCGAAATAGATAAAGGATGCTTATGTTGTTAAAGTATTCGTCACATATGTGAAAGACTGAACAACCTGGAATTCCTATGAAACTCCGTGTATGTGGTTATAAATGCGAAATTTGTAAGTACGAGTCTAAGGAGATGATGTGTACTTGGGTCATATGTCTGGCTGGATTAACACATGTTATTCATCGGACATGTGATTCAATTGCTCGTCATGCCTTACGACTTGGTATTGTTTCAATTGTCATGCAATGAGGAATCCTAATGTTGTGAGCCCCGTGGACGGTGGTGAGGCCTGCGCCGGAAATTTGTTCCTGGTCCATAGCAGGATGTTGCCATCTTTCCTTTCGAGGAGAGTGGCTACACTATCGTTGAAAGGGAGGAAGGTGGTAATATGTTTGTTGGAACCTTGCTTGTGAGGGTGACGATTACCGCTCGCCATGAGGGGAAGACTGATCACCTTTTCTTTTGTGGTGAATGGGGTCGCCTCGACTTTATGGCCGAGTCCGATCAGCTTAAGTCATAAGGGAGGGGTAGTTCAACCTTGCAGGTAGGGTACTAACGGATGTATGATACTGGAATCAGAGGGAAAGTGGTGAGGCTCGAGTCTAAAGCGGGGCTTGACGTCGAGATGTTATCCTTTATGGATTACACCACTCCTCGTCGCATTCACAAGACATATAAGAGATAAATCGTGCATGACAATTAAGTTGGAGTGAGAATTAGCCGGACTGGACAAAGACTTTTGAAAAGGGTGATTTCTCTCTGGGATGGTGCCGGCATATGCTGTAGTATAGTGTAAGTACCCTTGTGTTTAGTGAGGAGCCCGGGTTAAAACTCCTGGCAGTGAGAGACATGCTGAGGTGTTGGGAATGCACCCCCATGAACATGAGAGACCCAGGTTAAATTCCTGACAGTGTGTGCTGTATGACGAAAGACCCGCAGGGGGTTAAACCTGACGAGACCTAGACAGGGGGTTATAGCCTGAAGAGAGTCCCATCAGGGGGATAAGCCTGACCCATCTATGAGAGACAAAAGGAAAGATGAGTGGCCACCAGTGGGATGATGCTGGGATCATTCTTCTAAAAGGTTCTTGTAACTCCTCAGGTTGGGTAAAGCCAAAAGTGGATTCCAAATTCCGGGGAAAGACCTGCCAGAGGTTATTTCTAGCCTCATTCCAACTCGTGACTGAATGAAAGTGCTTTCGAAGGAAGGTTCGAAAGAATTATAGGGCTTGAAAGTAAGCCTCTGTCTGTATTAAAGGCTTGAAAGTAAGCCTCTGTATGTTAGTGACTTGAAAGTAAGCCTCTGTTATGCTTGAAAGTAAGTCAATGTTTGAAGTACTGTAAGTAATGAAATATGCGTGGAGTATTTCATAAAGAAGTATCCAAATGATTATGAAAGGAAAGAAAGATGAACGACGGAAACGTCGCTCATCACGAATAAGTATGTAAGGTCTGGATTAATTTTATATATATTGTGATTATGTGATATATTTGGTGAAATGAAATCTTATAAAGACTTCCCCTGCATTGCTTATGATAAGCGACGGAGACGTCGCTTAATGGGGGCGGGGAAGGCTGTCGGGACAGAAACCCCTGTGAGGGTTTCTGCCCAAGGGTTTTAAGGGCAGACATTGCCCGACCTTTTTTTGGATTGGGAGACTTGACGAGGTTGACTTTGCCAAAAGTTATCCAGACCAACCCTATAACTGAGAAACCTAAAGTCTGACATTGTTGACGTACGACGTCATTGACATACGACGTCGTTGACATGTGACGTTATTGACGTGTGACGCCATCGATGTTCGCTCGGAACAGCGGGAATCGGCAGTATGACCTGTCGTCCGCAGGCCCCGACAAAGCCGCAAAGATGAGCGGTCGTAGAAAGACTAAGGCCAGACTTATCCTACCTAAAAGATGTCGCGCGGCTTAGCAGCCGCGCGATTCAGGGCCTACGTAGGCAAAAAAAGAGAAGTGTGCCGGGTATGGGACCGCGACACGGGAGGAGTAGGAAGCTTTTCTTCTGGGCCGCAGGGGTTGACACCGAGCCAGGGGGCTGCTAGGCCAATACCGAGGTCGCCCGGCCACCCGCGCATGCAAGGCCACAAGCAGGCGAGGCTTGCAGGGCCGCAGGCAGACCGGGCCTGTAAGTCTACGGGCAGGCAGAGCCTCCAAGGCCGCGACACGGGGCTAGCTGGCTGGGCAAGCTCTTCATATAGAAGAGCTGCTCTTACCACTGTTGTGATAGGAGCTAGCCCAGTAGGTTATAGCAGACAACTCTCACCCGGGAGATATCGGGATCGAACCTGACGTGCTGGCCTACTGGGCAAAGCTCCTTTTGGAGCGGCCCAAGGCAAACGGGCGCGGCCGATCTCGGTCGTGCGATCATCAAAATCTCGCGGCTGAGATCTGTCGCGCCGAGATTAGCATGGCCCCTGCGCAAAGATGACACGCATAAATCGAGAAATAGTCCAAATTTTTATTTGATCCCATCAGGGATCGAACTTGGATCTGTATTTCAACAGTTCGTGGTGGTACTGTGACCCCGACGTGACCGTTGGCTAGGCCAACGAAGTGCAAAAAAAAAAAAAACAAAAAAAAAAACTTAAAACTAAAAGTACACTAAGAAGTGAAAGCCCCACGTGGCGCGTAAA